CGTGTCCAGCTCGGGATCCAGCTCGGATCCACCTCGGGTCCAGCTCGGGGTCCAGCTCGGCATCCATCTCGGTGTCCACCTCGGTGTCCAGGTCTATGTCTAGCTCGTTGTGTAGCTCGGTGTTCAGCTGGGCGTCCAACTCGGAGTCCAACTCGGAGTCCAACTCGGAGTCCAGCTCGGAGTCCAGCTGGAACCCGGCGACGTCCTGACGCTCCCGCTGCCCACTCGCTGCGAGCGATTGTGGGCGCCGGGCCGTCGCCTGCCGGAGGGCGGGAGGAGTAGGCCTTGTGTCTGCTTCTCTTGCGTCTTCCCCGGGAGGGAGGCTACTGCCCGCTTTTTCCGGCAGCCCCTCGTGGGTGGCGGGCTCTCTCAAGGGCTGGGGAGTCCAAACTTGCCCCGAGAGATCGATCCGTGATCCATCTGAGCTGTGAGGCGAGACGGCAAGCTATACAGTATGAGAACGAGGACGGAACACCATTTTTAACTTCGGCCTCCAGCGTTTTTATTCACCCCGTGACGTAATTACGCCAACCGGTTCCATGGCAAGAGAGTACCCAAAGTTGTAGAGCCAATGTGACTGCCCTGCAACGAATCCTTTTTTGTTTGGGCGGCCTCTTGGGTCTGCTCTCAGGTAGCCGAGCCCTCTCTCTCTGAACTTGGTGGCAGGCTGTGGCGCTCGGAGCCGACGGCAAGTCTGACGGCCCGTGCACCGTGGCATTGGCGTGCTATTCCATCAGTGTCCCTTGCATAAAGGCTGCCCTTTGGGCAGAGCTGCAGGCGGTTGTGGTGTGGATCGATCGTGGTGTTGTTCTCTCCACTTTCCGTTCGATAGGTTTCTGCTGCGGAACATACTCGGACGCTGCATTTGGGGCTTGGCGACCCGTCGCTCCCTTGCTTGGTGTACGAAGCGATCCTAATGCACGTAACCCGGTGGGGGCGTTGACCTCGCTAGCCGTAAAGGAGGTAAACTCGGGTTGGTTCTTAATCCGAACAATTTGTTCGCTCGTCCCGGACGTTCGGGAGCACGTCCCGCAATTGACCTCTTCTGTTTGCACGCTATGTGGACCTGACCAGCCCATATGGCTCCGGCTTGGCGACGCCAGCGGGCTGCCCGGCCTCAGTGGGACCATTGTCGAGGAGGCTGGCGGGCAGTCGTTTGCGATGTTTTCTTGCACTGGGCAGGCGGGCAAGACACATGGCAACATTGCTTGCTAAGGACATCGGTTCGATAAGGCTTACCGTTGCCAAAACTGCAATGCCCGCACTTTCCAGCAGGCTGCGTCCAATCCTGGTGCGAAGTGACAACGCGGGGCTGTTATTTGCGCAAAACAGGACGTTTTGGAGGTTTTGGTAGTCTTCAACGACTGGCAGTCTTGTGTTTAAGCGTGTGAGAGCACGTATAAAAAAACAGTGCAGGTCGCGAAGCTTGTATCTTGGCAAGCTTATGGTAGTGATTTCCATCTTGTATGGCGCTGACACAGATGCGGTCCCTTATTCAGGGAGACGTTCACCCACGTGGCGGTGATGCGTGGGTAGTACTCGTCACAAAGGTTTGTGCCTACGACACCCGGTAAACTTGTATTTCGGAAGCACCGAAACATGTAATGCCAGGTTTTTCATGGACGAGCTGCCATTGGAAGAGCTCAAAACTCTTAAGCAGAGCCGAACTTCTCCGCGTTTGAGCACAGTTCTTAGCTGCGGCCGGACTGGATGTGATGTACTTCCGCGACAAGTGCTAATGCAGCAAACCACGAGCCGAATATATGTGACTGGCGCCGCCTACTGGCCCTTCGGTTAGTGGCGGGCCCCTGACTGCGACCGGTTTTTTTCCTTTACTATCGACATGGAAGTTACATCGGACCAGGGCCAACTGGCCTCAGCAGGCGCAACGCTGTTAAAAAAAACGGCCTCATGACCCGTCATCACCGCCATATGGCCCGTCTCCGGCCCTCGTCCACCAATGCTGGCTGCCGTGTGCGGCGCTCGGTGACTCTGGTCTCTCGGCGCGGCTCGCTCCCGGGTCGTCGCGGTGGACTGAGCGGCGCCGCCCTCCGGCCGCCCTCAATCCTCCCTCTGCCAGCGCTGAGCGATGTGGGTGGCGGCGGAGCGGAGGTCGGCGCGGAGGAACTGCCGCCCGAGCGAAGCCGCTCCCGCCAGGCCGGCGGCCCTAATGGCCGCCGAGCGCGGGCCGCGACCGACCGGCAGCGTTGTTTACATCTGCCGCGCGAGCGGAATGAGAGCGATGCCGAATAAATTGCGGATGCCCGCCCAGCATCCGGAGATGGTTTTCCCGATGGCGGGGTCACGGCGCGTGCGGTCGGGCTCGGCCGTGTGGTGCGATCTGCCCCGGCGCCCGTCCTGGCGGCGGCACTGGAAAGTTGTCCGGCGGGCGGCCCGCCCTGGGCCCGGCGGCCCGCCCTCGGCCCCGGCGGCCCGCCCCCGGCCCCGGCGGCTCGCCCCGGCACCAGCGGCCCAGATGGATAGAATCGCCTGCAGTGCAGGTCCCGGCAGCAGTCGCAGCCTGGACGGAGTTCCGGTCGCCATGAAGCGGTCTCAGCGGCCGAGGCGCCGCTAAACCCTCATCTCATCGGCCTGCGAATACGGATCAGCGCCGCCGATCGGTCGGCTCCATGGCAGCCCGTGGGGTGATGACGCAGCTCGTCGGGCTCATCGTCGATGGAGCCGAGGCCGCGCCAGTGCTGGGGGCGGCGATGTCGACCTCTGCAGCGTGCGCGGCGGCGATCGACGCGGTCCGCACAACCGGCTCGGTCTCGCTTGCAAGCCCGATCTGCTGTGTAGCGGCGTTGCGATCGCGTCTGCCGGCGTTGGAGTGAGCGGTTCCTCCGTGGCGCCCGGTGTGCCGGCACGCGGACGTGCCGCGGCGCCCGGCCCGCGATCCCCGCCGGCCGTTGAGTCCGCTCCGGGCCGGCGGTGAGCGATGAGGCTCCGGTCCGGCGCCGCTGCGAATGCTCCGACGGCCGCTGCACTCGCCGATCCGGCGCCTACGACCGGCCGGCGTGACGGCGCCGTGAATTATGCCGTTCCGTTTCATCAACGGCCGGCCGGCCGCCGCTTACCGCGCTGATGTATGGTGTCGCGGCGCCGGCGCCCCAGCCGGTGCGCGAGAGTCGCTGAATACGCCGGCCTCTCGCCGACGGCGGCACAAGTTCGTTGTTTGTATCGCGGGCACAGGAGCATACCGCCTAGCCGGGCTGTAAACAAGCCGCTCAAGTCAGCCTGCGCGCGGCAGACGTGTCCGAGCTGTTGGGCCTCCCCCTCCCTTGCCGTCCGCCCGGGCGGGGCGCTGATCGGGCGTGGTCTGGCGCTGGCCGGAGGTCGGAATAACCGCTCCGCCCACCAGCCGCCCATCGCGCGGCCCCATTTGCGTGTAAATGCGTGGCTCCGACGGCGCGGCGTCGGCGCCTGATTCTGTTTGCGCTCCGGCAATGACGCGCCGCGCCCGGGGGCGGCCGGGCCGCCGGCGGCGACGCACGCCGGCCGTCGCGAGCGGTGCTTGCCGGCCGGCGGGCGGCGGCAGCGCAGGGCGTGACCGGTGGCGCTCTGTCGCGGTGGCGCCCGTTAGGCACGTCGGACCACGGCGCGACGTGCTCGGCCACCCCACTTCCAGCGCCGCCCCCGGCTCCCGTGCGGGACGTGGGACTGCTGTCGTGCTGTCTTGCTCTGCCTCGCCCCTTAGTTCGTCTTGTCAGTGAATGTGGCGTAGCCTGCAACGTGCATATCCGAATACGCAACATCTGATCTGCTGATCTGCATGTACTTTTGCCACAAGTGTTCAACTCTGCAATCAAATCTACCACACTACAAGTGCTCGTTGTGTATATCTGTACCACCCTGCGCTCTATCCTGCATATCTTGTAACTGTATCTTGGCGTGCGTGTATCTTGGTATATTTTGTATATGTATCCCTCTTTTTATTTCCTTTTTCTGCGCTCCTCTAACTCCTGTTTCTCCCATTTTCTTTTCTGTTTTTTTCTGTCCTGCGATGTCTTATCATGTATTGTCGTATCCAGGCCTATCCTTACCTCTCATCTCGTCGTCACTGGGGCTTTACGACGCACTCAGCTGCTGGGGCTTTATGGCCCCGCCTGCCTCTCACCCCGGCAGTGAGAGCCGTAACCGCAGGGCATCGAATACCGTACGTCTGGTTTCCCAGACGCCCGGCTTAGCCAGTACCCTACCGGTACCAGCCTCTGCTCTCATCTCATTTCATTTCATCTCATGTTATGTCATTTCATTTCACTTCATTTGATTACATTACATTTAATCTCATCTCATCTCATCTCAATTTATTTCACCCCATCTTATCTCATCTCATCTCATCTCACCTCACCTCATCTCATCTCAATTCATACCATCTCATCTCATCTCAGCTCAGCTTATCTTTTCTCCTCTCGTCTCCTCTCCTCTCCTCTCCTCTCCTCTCCTCTCCTCTCCTCTCCTCTCCTCTCCTCTCCTCTCTCCTCTCCTCTCCTCTCCTCTCCTCTCCTCTCCCTCCTCTCCTCCTCTCCTCTCCTCTCCTCTCCTCTCCTCTCCTCTCTCTCTTCTTCCCTTTTCTCTTCCTTCTTCTGTCCTCGCCTCTCGTCTGCGCTCTCTCCATTTCCATTCGTGTCCTGCCCACTGTCTCCCCCTTATCCCCCGCCCCTCGCTTGCCCCCTCCTATCGTCAGCTCGGACAGGTCGGTATGCGGCAGAACCGGCGCAGTACCGGACGCCAGCTGCCCTGCCCGCGTCCGCTGTCCGGCCGCTAAAGCCCGCCGGACACGACCAGGCGTACACAGTCGTCGGCCGGCGCCCCTGACACCGCCCTGCAGGCGTGAGGCCTGGCCATCGTCGCCCCCCGCTGTCGCCCTAAAGTCGGGTCACCCGCTGGCGAGTGATCTGACGGCTGCCGCCCCCTGACGCTGCTCCCTGACACTGCCCGGCAGGCGGGTGGCCTGACGGCTGCCGCCCCTGACGCCGTTCCCTGACACTGTCCGGCAGGCGGGTGAACTGACGGACGAGCTGCTGGCGCTGACACAGGCCTGGTTCGCGGCCGTGGCGCCCCAGCCGCTCGACCTGGTCTGGGGCCTGGCGCGACAGCCGTTCCTGGACCTGCGCCTGGCGGCGCTGCGCGTGCTAGGCCGCTGTCGCCGCGCTGGAGTGGGGCCAGCGGGTGTGTTTGGAACGTGCCGGTAGGTGGCAGCAGGTGGTGTCTGCTCCCGGGCGGCCGGGGCCGACCGGCGACGGTGGTCTGCGGGCGTCTTGGACTCGCTTGTCAATACATTTTAACGGTGAGATGTGTGTGGGTGGTCTCCGTGGGGATTTCCCACTCCGTTGCCCAACACGGAGTGGGGAAGGTTAATTACCCTCTCGCCAACGTGGGCTGCTTTCCACCGTTGTGGTTCCATGACCGCTTGGAAACACAGTGTGTGTGGTTCCCGGGCTTGGATTTTGTTAGGGCTCCCGAGATCCTGAACCGCAATACTGTGATGCTGTTATCTCAGTTCGAGGAACGCAAGATTAGGACAGGCGCTTTGCCCCGAAAATGCGCCGTTTATAATCCCCTGATAATGAGTAGTATGCTGCATTAATCCATCATCCCGTCTCTGTCGCTAAGGGATGCAAACGATAAAACAGCGGGGACTGCTAGGCCATTCGCTGGATTCAAACTCTACGGAAGGCAATCTGCTGGGCCCAACCACACAGCTGACGGTTAGCTGACAACTGGCCACCGAGTGTGACTTGAGCGCGCGGAGCCCAGGGCTTGACACTGTGTGAGGCATTAAACACTCGTCCATCGGGCCATCTTGTGTGATGAAAAGGCAGGAGGCAAAATAAGCCACTGAACGTGTGCCGCGGGGCGTCGTTGGTCGGTTCAGGGTACACACAGTAACACACGTCGCTCATTACGCCCTCTGAGCACAATGACTCATACAAAGCCCCCGGAACGTGTATTTGTATTCAGCAGTGTGATTGTCTTATCGCAAGGGTTTCGTCACGTTTTTTTTCCTTGGCTGCATACTGCTCGCCTCGCAAATTTGACACAACGGTAAGGCGTGTAAAACGTTTTGGAATTCTGTAGGGTCAGCTTCCTGTTGCCTGCGTTGTGTGAATTTTTGTAGGTCGTAATCTTATTTCGAAGTCTTCGAGTTTCAAGTTTGAAGATGTTATGTTGGCGAAGGCAGATCATGCGTGAAAGGCGTCCGGAAGTTTCCCGATCGCTATTAAAGGCGAACCGGCCGACCCACTTCGCCGTCCGCCGTGGCGGCGGAGGCGAGCGGTGGGAAAGTTTGATGAAAGCCACAGCAACGGGGATGTACGCAGCCCACCGAAACTGCCGACACCGTTTACAATAAACTCGGCCCGACTGTTGCCCTGACGCCGTTTACAATGAACTCGGCCCGACGGTTGCCCTGACGCTGTTTGCAATGAACTCGGCCCGACGGTTGCCTTGACGCTGTTAACAATGAACTCGGCCGCCGGTTGCCTCGACGCTGCTTACAATGAACTCGGTCCGAAGGTTGCCCTGACGCTGTTAGCAGTGAACTCGGCCCGACGGTTGCCCTGACGCTGTTTACAATGAACCCGGCCCGACGGTTGCCTTGACGCTGTTAACAATGAACTCGGCCCGACGGTTGCCTGACGCTGTTTACAATGAACTCGGCCCGACGGTTGCCTTGACGCTGCTTACAGTAAACTCGTGCTGACTAATGTCGCGGCTCTGCTTTCATGTCGTGCGATCGGACGAAACCCGTCAACGCCTCCGCAGTGTACACATTGTCTGACGACGGTCCCCGCGACATTTGCAATGCTTGCGATCTCACAAAACCCCTGACATTGCGTGATCACACGCTGCCGGACGAAGCCCCCGGCGCTATTTACAAAGTCCACTGCCCGACGAACCCACCAGCAATGTGTGCAGTGTACACTGTCCAAGGAGCCGGTAGCTGTGTTTGCGATGTTGGTCCGTGGCCCGGCGAAGACGCCGCCGCTGTTTACAAAGTGCACCACCCGGGCCATTTGTTGGGCGTCAACGCTGGCGGGTCGGCTAATCACCGCCGTCCCAGCCGGTGCTTTGGTCGATCTAGCCGCGTCCGTCGTCTGTCCGGCCCGCCCGGTCGATGGCCGTCGCGCCCGCCCCGCCCCGCCCCCGCCCCCGCTCCCGCCCGGCGAGTGACCCCCGCTCGCCGCGCGCCGCCGCAGGGTTCCTGGAGTACCTGCTGGACCGCTCCACCGAGTCCAGCAAGGAGGGCCGGGACGCCAAGTTCGCCGTCGTGGCCGCCATCGTCGGTTCGGCCAGCAGCCGGCACGCGGTGGCGCCCAGCGCGCTGGCCCAGCTCAGCGCCTACCACGAGCAGGGCGCCTTCTACGTGCGCGCCACCACCGAGGTGGCTTTGGACGAGTCCACCTAGGAGAGCACAGAACGCAGCTCACGGGGCGGCCGTGGTCGGCGATTGGTGACAGGCAGACCGGCCGGGATTGGCGGCTGACAACCGACGGATCACGACTCAGGAATGACGGCCGACGTGTCACGAGCGGCGGATCACGACGGACATGTCACGGCTGATGAATCACACGGACGGTTCACGACTGACAAACCTCAGGTGACCGGTCACGATCACGACTGATAGACCACAGGTGACCGGTCACGATCACGACTGGTAGACCACAGGTGACCGGTCACGGTCACGACTGACAAATCATTGGGGACCGGTCACGATCGCGACTGATAGACCGCAGGTGACCGGTCACGATCGCGACTGATAGACCGCAGATGACCGGTCACGATCGCGACTGATAGACCGCAGGTGACCGGTCACGATCACGACTGATAGACCGCAGGTCACAATCACGACTGATAGACCACAGGTGACCGGTCACGGTCACGACTGACAAATCATTAGGGAACGGTCACGGTCACGACTGATAGATCACAGGTGACCAGTCACGGTCACGACTGACAAATCATTGGTGACCGGTCACGATCACGACTGACAGACCGCAGGTGTCCGGTCACGATCACGACTGACAAATCATTGGTGACCGGTCACGATCACGACTGACAGACCGCAGGTGTCCGGTCACGATCACGACTGACAAATCATTGGTGACCGGTCACGATCACGACTGACAGACCACAGGTGACCAGTCACGGTCACGACTGACAAATCATTGGTTACCGGTCACGATCACGACTGAAGACCTCAGGTGACCGGTCACGATCACGACTGATACACCTCAGGTGACCGGTCACGGTCACGACTGGTGAATGACAACTAACGAGTCACGACTGATGAATCGCGAGTCACGATTCACGAGTGACGGATCGCGACGGACGAATCACGGCAGCTGGACTACGGTTGATGAGCGATGAGTGCAGATCACGACTGAGGGCTCACATCGGCCGGATCACGAACGGCAGATCAGACGCCGCCCCAGCAGGGACTGCCGGCCGAAGTCAGTGAACGGCAGATCAGACGCCACCCCCAGCAGGGACTGCCGGCCGAAGCCAGTGCCGTTGCAGTGCGGGTGCCCTTATTCCGGCGGCGTCCCTTGATGCCATGGACCCGCGTCGTGCCGTCGCGTCGCCAAGGTCGAGCTGACAGCCGTTTGTGATATTGTGGATGTGTTGGCACATCGGTGGGCACGTGGCCGGCCCCGCCGTCGGGAATACACGGGCTCGCGCCCGCTGGCTGCCTTTGTCGTGCTGGCCGCCGAGCTCTATCGCCAGGCCCGTGGGCTGAGCACGTGGGCTAAGCGTGCTGACTGCACGCTGTGTAGGCCGGTCGGCCACCACGGGGTCACCTCTCGGTCGGGTGGGTTCTGTGCGCAGGATGTCTGTATTTCGCCCTCTTCGCCGGAGCAGAGGGGCGGGGAAGGGGTTACGTTTGGCACGATACCCTTGGCAGTTCGCTACAAAAAAAGAAAGGAGATGATGCTCATTTCGTTTTGTACAACTTTAGCTGTCATTGTTTGGGATGTTGCGGCTAATTTCCTTAGTTGGATTGAGCGAGATCAAATCATGTTTTTGCCGTCTCCATACGGCTTTGCGTTTGTCCGCGAAGCAAATAGGATGCAAGTCATAGCATGGGAACAATTATCTCCAAGAAGTGATGAGTTGCCAGGGTTCCTCCCGTGGCCTCAAATGGCCTTGGCCGGAGACTTACTAGCAATTCGACTTGAAGGCATGACGACACACCGAAAATTTTCACATGGGCGATGATCCTCGTCTAGACCTTCCACAGTTCGTACCTTGAAAAGTCCACTCTCAGCATATTGACCAGTTTGGAAGGCGTTACCTGATGGGACGATGATCTTGAATTATTTTTCCAACGCAGTGCAACTTCTCAGTCATGTCGCCTTGTCATCGTACAGGTTGAGGCTGCTTTGACTAAATTTCGAGATTTGTCACGGTACATTGACTTTGGATGACTAAGAAAGGTCGCGAGCATTTGTAACGTGCATATCGTAATTGCTTCATATGTTCAGGACCGCTGGGCGTTCAGCTGCAAACAGAGCTAAGATGCGTCACTGAGTGCCGAATTCTCATATTTTTCATCTTGCATGGCTTTCAGAACGACGTCATAGGCCTCTGAACTGACGCGGTAGGAATTTTAAACACGCAGGTCAAGTGCAAAAATTGAGGCAACTTGCTTGAATTACAGTGTGATGGTCACGTTAGTTCGGGAGATAATATCAAAAGAAAATATGATTACACAGCGATGTTCACATCAACCGTCTGCATTAGCGAGGCCTCAAGTTTATGTCACGATTATTCTTAGCCATGGTGAAGCTTGGCTTGCAGGCGTTTTGGCCACATTTTTGACGTTTTTGGGTCATTTTGATATTTTTGCAGGCCTTTTGGCCACGTTGGCTACATAGTGGCCCACTACTTTGCGCTGGGTTAAAACGCTCACGTGGTGTATTCCGCATTGGTATTTTCTTGATATTTCGCTTCCTTTTCTCATAATTGGATCGAGTGATTGCTGTAATGTGGATGTGTGTCTGTGATGTGGGTGTGTCAACATGGTACTCCTTGCTCATGTGTGGACGCTGTTGTCACTGTCGTGCATCATAGTTACGCTGGGTTCTGCAACTTGCCCCTCCTGTTCATTTGTTGCATCACTTACTGTTCA